ACGGAGTTTGACAGTTCACTGATTACTATAGTTTTTTTCTACGGGTTTGGCGCAAGGTTATAAGATCGGATATTTTGCAGCATGGAAGAGATAGTGATCCGTTTGCGGAAGCGGCTTCTGATTGGCTTGCTTTTGTGCTGCTATTTATGTTTATTTTTTATTATTTTTGGCTAATTTTGTTTTTTTTAGAATTAGGGATATGTTTAGGGGTTATGGTTAGGGTTATGGTTAGGGTTAAGCATCATTTTCGTATATCCACAACTTATTTTTACATTCAGCTATCTCGTCTGCTGAGCACCTACTATATAAGATGGGTAAGATCGGGGAAGGACATTACTTATAGACTCGCTGGCTAATGAATCTGTATAGAGCAATAGTATGCGATCAGCGAAAACATCGCCACACTAAATGTGGAAACTAACAATTAATGTGTGCCACTAACATAATACTTATGAATAATAGTGAATACGATATAATCAATAATATTAATATTATAATATATTAATATTGTTTTAAATAATAATAATAATTAATAATACATGATACTAATAACGCTGCTCATGAGTGGTGTTGTTCCTAAGCGTTCCATCAAATTGCTTCCGCGCAAACATGTTTTCTCACCCCGACACTTGCTCCTCAGCACTCGGACAAGTGCGCAAATACTAAATGGACACTGTATTCTACATGTGTCTAAAGAAACAATTGTGATTAACGGCTATAATGACACGTGTATTTCTGCATGTGTCTAAACCAATTTGGGTGGAGTAACAGCTAATAATGGAGCAGCTGGTATTGTCTACATGTGTCTATAAAGACAATTGTTGAGTAAGCAGCTTGAAGGCCTAGTGCCATTGGACGGTCGATTATCGGATGTTAGACAATTACTCACCCAATGTAATATAAGCGGTGGTTTCTTAAGAATACCCGATTATAGGTGATTTGCTACTAAACTAGCGAATATTATAATTATTCAAATGCTGAGTGGTGCTATATAGCCTACCTGTTAACAATTATATAACCATCGGATTCAGGATTTTCATGGGCAAACAGGTGGAATGGCCAACGTTTAGCGCAGTTGTATACTGATTAGAGAAATACAGGCGGCAGCTGTCACTCTCGTCAGCCCAGTGAGCATACTGATCCCGATCTCCGGTATGCGTGCGTTCCTCAGTGTATTGACGCACCAGACGATACGCGCGCTGGCCTAATGGTAGTCACGAGAATGTTGATAGTCGGTTAGTACCAACTCGACAGGACTCGGTTTTAAAGATCGGTAGTGTTTGAATCAACTTCGTTATGCGTAATGGAGCGGCGTTACTGTGTAAGCCGTAGGTTGCACACAAGCAATTTGGCGGAGAACCTGGTCGCAATTTCCTGAGGGATGCTTTTGTTTTGATAGACTGACCCTAAAATATTGATGACACTGCTATGCTTTTTCTTGTTAGTGGTAGTCGTAGCTATTGCATGGATAAAAGTATACATAGTACAGGGTAAACCCGTTGCAGATTTATTGTAATAAACTACTGTTGCAGAGTGCAAAACTACGAATAAATAAGTTCACGTTCGCTCTTTGTACGTTAAATAAAGGTTTGAACACAAGAAGGGTCAGCGCACCTACCTAAAGCTAATACCTGTTGCCAGATAATATATACTAGATACAGGTTTTTTTCGTCTCGGTTTTGGATCATCATATGAAGAGAGTAGGATGACGCTTGACGTTCAAGTTGGTTGAAAGCAATATAGGCACACGAAGCGAACTCGACCAGGCCCACAAAGCTGGCGCCATGGTAAACGCTGTTCAAAAGACCTGGTGAGTTTTACCGAGAAAAATATTGCATGTCCATGTATCTAGTCTCGTAATACTGTTAGCGTCGCTATAGATGTAATAGAGCCCCGGCGTGCATTCCCTCAAATTTAATTCATTTTACCGAGAGCTTTGATACAAGCCCAGTAAAAAGCATTTCGCTCTTGCT